GTATTAATTGGGAATTTAAGGTTCAGCCGCACGATTATAATAATTATCATCGTGTACGGACATCAACAAATGTCGATGCGAGAACAACAAATATAAGATGAAATTAAGTCAAAGATAGCACATATAACATATAACTATATAATATACCTTGTAACATAAATAACAGAAGATACAGAAATATAGATAATTAACATAGTACTTACTATTAATACATTTACTTATTAACGAACAGAACGACCACCATATTGTTGTAGTTAATATACATAATAATAATCACTATTAAGCATTCTATATAGACCAAACAATACAAACAATTAAAATCTTATGGAGACATAGATACTACCAAGTATCACAAAAAACACAATAAGTTGCTTTTATGGCCAAGTTGGTAAGGCGCCACACTAGTAATGTGGAGATCCTCGGTTCAACTCCGAGTGAAAGCATATTTTATTTTTCACAGGCGGTGAATTTTCTCGGCGCCTATTTATTTTTACCATTTTTGGTGAACATTTGCCTATACTTGACACTTAATTTTGTATTTCCTTTCTTTTTAGGTTACTTGAGATAACAAGTAAGGAAATACGAATATATGATTAGTCTTCAACAATTAATATGAAAAGAATCATAAATGTATTTCAATCTTGCCGTTAATGATACAATACTCATGTGTGTGATGATATTTATTTTTAAGTCTATTAAAGTTTATAAGTAGGTAATTATTTAGAGGAAAGAAATGGTATTAGATTGAATATTGAAAAAATGTAATTGAACATAAAAAAGAAATTCATTGTTCAAGATAACTAATATAGGTAGGGGACGCAGGGTCTTACAGATCACGTTGTCCTCTTTTTTGTTGTTTAGGCATGAAACTCAATAAATGTACCTAAAGTTTCTATTCTCAATATCTGTCATGTCTAAGAATTCGTATTTTCCCTTCTTTTGACCTTCTTGTTCTTTGTCTCTCCTTTGATTCTCCTTTTTACAGAGGTACCCGACATACAACTGAGCAGGAACACAAACACATTGAGTGACTAAAAGGCCAATCTTGGCAGGGACATACCTAGGAGCCTGATTAGCTCTAAACATTTGAGGTGCGATGATACAAGCAACATTGTAAACGATCATAGTAATGGCATTCCTGAAGACTCTCTTTGTGTAACCTGAGGTATTACATGAGTTCCAAATGTAAATGTTTGTAATGACACATGACCCACTGTACAATAGATACAAAGACAGTAAATTACCAACTTTATGGGATAGTGGTAAGGATATTAATACAATAGCACCAATAATTGCAGGAATATACATTGAAGTAGTAATTAAAGTGATATTACCCCAACGAGATATCATTTGGGTAGTGATGATAATAATCATGGCTGTAATGGCACCGATAGGTAATTGTAATAAAGCAGTTTCATAACTATCGAAGCCAAATGTAGCTGTAATTGTTACAGAGAAAGTACCAATCGCACCAGTACAAATTTGAGATGCGGCGGTAATGAATAGCATTGGCCATGTAAGTTTATCCTTTAAGAACAATTCCTTTACTTGACTCATTTTGAATTTTTTAGTCTCTAAACCAGTTTGATTACTTCTAATATGTTCCACAACTTGTAATTTTTCATCTTTTGTTAAAAACCAAGCATTGGTGACATTATCAGGTAGATAGAAAAATGTTATTAAGCCGAAAGCGACAGTAAACAAACCAACTACTAAAAACATAATTTGCCATGAAGTAAAATCTTTACCATGGTAGTGTTGAAACCCAAAAGAGATTAATCCACCAACAATATAACCTGTACCAGCTTGAGTAGCCCAGAATCCAATTCTAGCACTTTGTTCAGCTTTTGTATAATACATACCACTAATGGCAATACAACCAACGGCACTTGATGATTCAAACATACCTAATAAAGTTCTTACAATCATTAAGGATGCATAACTCTTACATGCCGAATGGCATGCTAGTATAGCACCCCAAGTCATAATAAAAGCACCTAGAATCTTAGAAATTGGGTATCTTTGTATTAAATAAGTGACTAAAGGTTCCATAAAGATGTAAGAAGCACCAAAGATAGTACTTAGATTGGCAAAATCATTACCTTTTAAATGATCTTTAATACCCATGGAGGCGGCATAATTCAATAAGGCTTTATCTAAAAACATTAAAAGATAAGTCATACATAAGAAAGGTAATACAAACATATCCAATTTTCTTAATGTCTTTTTCGGAAGTTCATGAGATCCATAAAAGATAGCACCTTCTGAATCATTATCTTCGGAGACTGCGATATTTGAAGTCTTATTTTCACGTAAGAATTTAGCTGCAACATCGACATCTCTATCCGAATCTAATTCGATAGATGACGTAAAAGATGAACTTTTCTCTTGTGAAAATTGTTCCTTAACGGATGAATCAGATGAATTTGTTGATAATTCAGGATTATTAGCAATAGTATCCGGAATTTTTTCGTTGTTAGACGACATAATGTTCGAGTTATTAGTATGTCCGTATAATGTGGTAAAATCTGTGATGAACTATTAAAATTCAAAATAATATTGCTAACAAAAAAAAATATAGAAAAACTGAAAGTGTATCTTAAATTCCCTGTTTCGTTTTGTTATTCTTAATTTTGGTAACGAGATGGTTAGATTTTATATGTCATAAAAATTTTCATGTATCTATCTCGATCAATCTTGTTTCATTCATTAGTTTTTATCGTGTTGTTTCCAAGCAACCACAAACAGAATAAAATATGAACAAATGATGGGGGGGAAGTGGTCAGAATAGTAATAATATAAAATTTCTCTATGAGTTAGAAAAGCTCCTCTTTACTATCCGTATCAACCTACTTCCTATCTCTATTCTAAATGAGATGAGAAAGAAAAGAAAACTCTTCTAGACTACTTATGACGATAAAATTATTAGCATCATGACCATCATTCCTGTTAGAGTCAATGAACCTGAAAAAAAAACGCTCTATGGCAACTGGTACTTCATTTTTAACTCCCTCTCTACTACTGCTAATTACGTCTAACAGAAGTTGTAGGTAGATCGGTGCTGTTATGCTCATCAAATAGCACCAATTAAGTCATCAGCAAGAAATTCTTTCAAATTTTTTCTCGGCCGAGAGATACACACATATATAATGTTAAATTCTTGTACAGAATTTTTATTCATCAAGACAACTTGTCGGAATATGCAAATAGCGAGCTTCAACATGTATGCTTTCTCTTAATTTATGGTATGTAAATATTGAAAAAGAACAGCTGATATTTTAAAGAGTCGAGTGTTGTTAGTCAAAAATAAGTTGATATATATATATGTATGTATGTATGTATGTATGTACACTTTTGAACTAAGGAGGAAGATAAGAGTGAAAGGACTATGACGAGCACACCAAGAGTAGAGAATAGGTCACAATTTAAAAGTTGTATGTGTGAAAGCCGTGTCTGTGAACTCCGGATAATGATTCATTTATTTCACTATCTCGATATGAATGTGTAGATATTTCATTAATACGTTACGTAGTGTCTCTCTCTCTCTCTCTCTCTCTCTCTCTCTCTCTCTCTCTTGGGCTATGTTGTAATGTGCGCAACAATAATAAAATTATTATTATTATTATTGAAATTTTTCCCTTCGCGAACACGAAATCTATTTATTCACTTCCTTAAGAAATGAAAAATTTGGTGAAGTCATCTATCACATCACCCACAATAAATAATCTATATACACTTGCAATGATGGTGACATTCGAATAATAATTGATATTGACGAGTTTCGTCTTGTTAACTGAGTGGTTATAGCTAGTATATATATAGACATATTTCTCTTAGGTTAAGTTGACAGAAGGTAGTTATTATATAGCCTTATAGGTGTTTAAATTGAAAGAAGATAAAATGGATGTTGGAATAGATAATGAGTTACAAAACTTGGAAGTTGCACAGGATGATACTTCAAAGTATTTATTACAATATATGTTAGCAGTACAAGGAGTCTGTCATGAGAATGTTTTACTTTTAGCTCTAATGAAATTAAAGCTCGATCAAGAACAATTCGATAAGACATGGTCTATAAAACAGTGGTTAGATTGTTTAAAAAAATATATTGAGGAGATTAATGTGAAATTGAGTCCATTATTGTATAAATTAATATTAGTGAATCATGATGTAGGAAATGATGCTGCGGATACACATATTAGACAAAAATTTCAACGATTTATTTCAAGTGTAAATCATGCTAATTTTAATGATTCTTTAGCAAGTAATATGGCAGATAATGAAGCAATGGAACAAGTAACCTCTGGATCCCTTTCTTTACCACAAAGTAATAGATACTATGTGTATATTAACTTACAATCTACCAATGAAACAAAACTGGCGACAAAATTTACCACAAAAGAAATTGAATTTATTAAATGGGCAATTGAACAATTCATGACTCAAGGAGATATTATTGAATATAAGACTCCCCAATTAACGTCTAGTATAATTGACAAAGTAAATAATATTTTAAAGGACATTAACTCGAACGATTCTGCAGAAAGTTCAACAGAAAATTGGAATCATTTTATTACTTATTCAGTAGGTTCTACCCAATTATCACAATTTGCAGATATGTCACCATTAGAAATAGAACACGTTCTTCGACAATTATGTGACTACAAATGGTTTTATAGAACCTCGGAAGGGAAATTTGGTATGGATATTAGATGCATT